CCCCCCCCAAAGTGGCTCTGTCCATGAGGACCATCACACTACCTTGGAATAACAAAGTTTTGTCTGACATTTTAAGCCGTTTGGAGTTAAAAAGACCAAGAGGTCAGAAAACAAAATTAATGTTCTATCTGCTCTATCAAAATCGAAGGAGTATACAGAGTTGTTATCAAATCAATAAATTTATAGAATTGCATTCGAAAAAGCTTGACAAGTTGTGAAACTCATATGTTCTTTTTTTTTACATAGAATTTCTCAAAACTATACTGAGCAGCTAGAACTTTGGAATTCTGAGGCAGCGACTCTTGTTTATGGTGGCATCTTTTCTTCTCCATAATGAGCGATAGTCTCGGACATGTTCGACTGTATAGTGTTCAGTACAACAGACTGATGTGATAAATCATAAAGTGGCATATTATATTTATATTATGTATTTAAAGAGCTAAGAAAGACGCTACCCCACATGATTACAAAGTTCTACCTGCTCAGCACCTAGTTTTGAGAAATTTGACGTAAAAAGATTTGAGTTTCACATGTCGAGCTATTTAGAATGCAATTCTTTGAATATCTTGATAACGACCGATAATCTTGATAAAACAGAATGATAGAACATGATTTCTGACCTCTTGGTCTTAGTAACTCAAAGCGGCCAAAAATGTCAGATAGAGCATTGTAATTCTAATGTAGCGAGAGTGTGATACATTAGTTAGGTAATGTGAGGTCTGTAAAAGCCCATTCAATTTGCACAATAGTTCGATAAAATTTAAAACATGGGGCCAGACGAAAACACCTCGAGGGACGGATCTGGCCAAGGGGGCTCTCGAGGCCTACAGGTTAATGTGTCCGCCTCTCATTCAAATGCCCGGGTTCGAATCAGGGTAGCGACGAAAAAAAATTCTTCTCTAAAATTGTCTCCTTTCACCTCCTCTCCTGCTCTCTAGCAATGTTCTGCCGTCTGCTTTCGTCTCCATTTTTTTACCCTCACCCCCTCAGCTCCTTTGCCCCCTCCTCTGGGCTCCTGACTCTTTCTCTGCAGCCTTTCTAGTGCTGTCCAACTCCTTGGCTCCTTCTTGCTGCTGTGTTTCAGCCACACCCCTGATCTTCTGGTAGGAAAGATCTACACCTAGCCTTCTCGGACAAGGCCGAAAAATCTCGGAGGTCACATGTACAAGTTGCGTACGTTAAAGATTCCTTGGTGGTATAAAATCGAAAAGAGTAGGCTTCGTTCGCCACCCGGCCAGAATTCAATATTTCCTGTCAACTGGAAATGTTTAAATGTGTCCCGCGCGCTCATAATATATGACCCGGTGCAGACTTTGCGAGCGCCGTAAAGCACTTACCCAAAAAAATGGGGGAAAAGGAAGATCTGGCCCGCGGACCGTGGTTTGGTGGGCTCCTGGCCTAGACAGGTTATACCCAAAGACGTTAAGGAAACACATGCATAACGCTTTAGATTTGTTTTGCTTTGTTCAACTTTGTTTTGAACCATTCTGAGCTCCGGGTATGCTTTTCCAAACGATGGCTATTTTGGGTTGGGTTGGGTTGGGTTGTTGTTGTTGTTGTTGTTGTTTTTGGGGGGTTGCTTTTTTTAAAATCATTTATTAAATCTTTTTCGTGTTAAAAGATGTAAAGAAATGTGGGAGGAAATGAGCTCGAAAAAAAAAAAACCCAAAAAAAAACAACCACTCTGACTCTCACCTCCTTCCTGTAGGCCCAGATAAGATTCATTATCAGGGCCCTGTTATCACTTAAGCCCAACCCTGAAAACCACAAGTTAAAGCGTGGCGGGGCACTCAGTGAGTCACGGCCTTATGTACTCAAGCGTCATGAGGACCCCCGGAAGGGGTGGGGGGGTGGGGGGTAGAGGAAAGTTTAGAAAAGCCGTGTGGGGGAAGTTTAGTGGGGTCCCTTAATGGCAAAAGTAAGGTGCATGCTGCACTTTATGTTAGAGACATACTTTAAGGTGCATTTGTCTCCTAAGATAATTACCTTTCAAATAAGCAAGGGATCCATGATGATCCTTGACCGGAAGTGGGTATGGCCAGCTATCAAAGTAGGTCACTATAACTTGTATCGGTTTACTCCCTAGACCACCACAATATATTGTCAACAAATATCCTGACACAATAGGAGAACTCAAAATGTAAGATTTCTGTCTATCAATCACGAATAATGGTGAAAAAAACCATTTGGCACAGGAAAATGGAAAAAATAGAATTTAATAACATTTCATGTAATGGGGTCACGCCTACATACTACAGCACTCAGTGAATTCCTGACTCATTTTCAAACATGACGCTAACCTTGAGCAGTTAGTTGTGTAACCTCAGACTCAGTTGACTTTTTGGGGCTTGTTTGTTTTAGAACATGTTTTACGGCACTCGTAACTGCATTAGGTCATAATATGACCGTCAGAAGATTAGAGGTGTTACAAGAGAGTAACAAACATAAAAAAGAAGGAGGGGGAGATAAGGACGATAGATGTTTGATAGTAAAGAAGAAGCAAACTACACCAGAGCGCCCAACCACCCACTTTTCTGGGGCTGTGGTGCAGATGATGGTGGTTCGAATATCTCGAGAGGCGACCGTTGACCTTGCGAAGTGAGTCTTAGATAATGTTCAGTTGATCAGTTTTAGTAAGAGTGTTATGGCACTTGCAGCACAATAAGGTCATATAAATGCCAAAGATTAAAGGTGTTACGAGAGAGTAACAAACACGAAAAGGAGCACAGAGGTAAGAACGATAGCTGTTTGATGGGAAAGAGGGGGCAGATCACATAAGAGCACCCGCCAACTACTCACTTAGATAACGTTACAATGTTAATACAAGAGAGGCAGGTGTCTTGCAAAAAAAAAAAACACCAAAAAAACTCTGACACCAACCCCCCCTTCCTTCCCCCACCCCTTCCCTTCTAAGAAAAGATTCGTGAGAGCTTTATTATCACTGCCACAACATTGAAAACTGAAACCAGCGATATACTGCCCCCATCGTTTTATGCACACACAAAAAAAAATCTGAAATTATGCAAACTGAGCCCCAAAAAAGTGAAATTATGCGATTCTGTTGATTTT